CTCCATGAGAGCTGGATGAGCACCCCAAACTATGTCTCTGAGAGTATCTTTAGGCCAAAAAGATCCCCAAAGTCTTCTTCCAACCCAACAAGAGTTTACCTTAACTAGTAAAGGATGTTTGCTTTGCAGATGATGCGTTATTAAGACCAGGCTCTATGGATTGGCAGGACGAAGATGTGGCAGTCCGCTGCATACGGATTTACAATATTGGAAACCCTGTATGAGAGTTCTCCTTTGTCCGATAGGGTTGCTGTGTGAATCAGATGTAACTCATCGGCGCTGGGTATATGGAATCAAATTGGCAACAGTAACTTAAAAGATGAGATGGGAACCTGGGGGGCCACTGAGTTCATGTTCATGGAGGGGGGCCAGAGGAAGGGGTGGCTGCACAGCCCAAAGAAGGCCATCAACGTCGCTGAGAAGGTTGCACACGTAGGCTGTTGAGTTCATATACAGTTTGCTGTCTCTACTTGCACAATAGCAGACACCCCCCAGAGAAAGCCTCCACCTCTCCGAGACACAAAGAAGTCCCACAACCTCCTCACCAGGCTTTCTTCATGAGTTTTGGCTCACAGGGGCCACTGAGGGCCACGCCCTTGGAGGCCCTGGGAATGACTAACGGACCCCGTGAACATCAGTGTCCACAACCTGAGACCAGAAGAACTGATGGTGCCCAGCGGCCACAGCCAAGTGCTCTGAGAGGGGGCACATCAGAAGGCTAGAACGGGGAAAGCTGGAATAAAACTCAGCTCAGAAAAGAGACCAAGTGTGCTGCTCAGAGAGATGCTGGTGAAGCCTCAGAGACTCTGGCGCTGCCTCACTCTGCAGGTCTGGGGCAGAACTCACCCCCAGGGTGGCTCTGTCTCCAGCCAAACACTACACAGTCCTGTAAGGGGGACAATGCCAAGGAGGGGCACACAGCTTAGAATAACTGAGCATCTGGGACCCAGAGGGCAGCATTTGCCAAGGACTGTGTGCACAGGGGTTAGGAAAGGCGAGATGGAGGCAGGACGCACACAGGGGCCGTGGGTGGTGTGACCTTACTTTGAAGGCAGTACTGCAACAAATGAGATAAAACCGATGTCACAAGTTGAATAGAAAGCAGAGGAGCTGCTCTCTAAGCCTTCATCCAACTCACAATAAAATGCTTTTTTAAAAACGGATGAGAGATGGCTGATAAGCACATAAAAATGTTCAGCAGAATCCATGGTATCCGCTAGAGGATGTAAATCAACAAGTCTGATGATACTAAGTGGTGGCAAAGATGTGGAACGACCGAAGCCCTCCCCCCTACTTTGCTGATAGGAATCTGAATGTGACAACCACTTTGGAAATTAGTTTGATGAGAATTGACCCAGCAATTCCACTCCTAGTCCTTTACCCACAAGCTAACATGTGGTCATCGACTTGTTCGCAACGGTATTAAATAGCCCCACACCGGACGCTACAGGAATGTCCATCAACACTGGGTGAATGAATACATTGCGGGTCTCTCCTGCAGAATACTGCTCAGCAACCAGAAGGCACAAACCACTGAGACGCACAGCAAGGGCGTCTCTGAGAACTCCGCCCTGAGAAAAAGCAGAGACTCCTGAGACAGCCAAGTTCCTAAAGCCATGTAGTGGATGCTGAGGGCGGGAGGCCTGGTGGGGAAGCACATGAGAGGAGTCAGGGAGTTGACAGAGGCATTCAGTCTCTGGAATGGGAGTATTACATCTGCGGGTGAACACTTTTATCAAAAAATGTATCAAAATCTACACTTAGAAGAGATATAGTTTATTGTACGTAGATCATAGCTCAATAAAGTTGGCTTTATTTATTCATTTATTTGTAAATAAGCAAGTGCAGAAGGCTGGTTGTAAGTGGGCCCTGAGCCGACGGCACCTCCCAGCACCACGCAGCAGAAGGCACATCGTGAGAACCCCCGTGCCTGGCTGGAAGGGGAGTTTGCGTCCCGCCTGTTCTTGGAAAGGGAGCTTGTCACATGCACTCCTCTTCAGTCCTTACCACCTCAGCTCCCTAGGGGCTTTTGCAGAAAGCTGGCTTTGTCTTGTGGCTGGAGCGGAGGGAGGGTCTGGTGTGGCATTCCGCATCCTCATAGAGATTCAGAAGTCTAGCTGCCCTTGACTTTTGGGTGCAGACTCCCTGCCACCGAGTAGATGGCGACTCACGCACGGCAACCCTGCAGGACAGAACAGGGCAGGCCGGGCCTGTGCCTGTGGGTTTCTGAGACGGGAACTCTTTCCAGGAGTAGAAAGCGTCTTCCTCCTGCGGTGTAATACGCCCAACTATCAGCAAAGTGGCCCCGCAGTGGTTCCCAGGGCAAAGCCCCTGGCTTGTACATTGCTTCCTCGGAGTTTGGGTGGCATTTGCGACTCCCTGGGTACATTCCCTGAGCCTTCACCATGTTCCAGGCCCTGCTCCGTGGAGCACCTGGGTGTGCCAATAGGGCAAAGTGCTCAACTACTAGCTGAAAGGTTGGCGGTTTGAATCCGCCCAGAGGCTCCTCAGCCGAGAGCAGGTTGGTGACCTGCTTAGGGAGGTCTCTCTGCCTTGCTAGGGGGCAGCTCTCCTTCGCACCACTGCTGGCCCTTGTCAGAATGCACTTAGTGACCAGGGAACACCGGGAAAGACAGGGCGGCCTGTGTGGGCGGGACTCAGCCCTTCAAGGTACAGCGCTGTGTGGACAAATTCACAGCATGCTTTGCTATGCTGCCATTTGGGGGGGGGGGGCGGGTGTTTCCACAAGGGAGATACGTACGTATTCAGATTTCCTTGTACATGCCTTAAAAACAAAACAAACCCCCCAGCTTCAGGAATAACAACTAAGACACTAAAGCAGGGGGTCCCCCTAAGGGGCCGTGTGGGAAGCCCATGGAGGACGTCAGGACTGGCAGGTTTGCTGTTCAATTTTTAAAAACACCCCTCCCCCCAAAAGAGAGTAATTTATAAATTATCAAGGGGACATGGGGGAGGAGGAGGGTAATTGAGGAGCTGATGTCAGGGGCTCTGGTAGAAAGGAAATGTCTTGGAAAAGATGACAACATATGTACAGATGTGTTTGACAAAATGGATATATGTCTGAATTGTGATTAAGAGCTGTAAGAGCTCCCAATAAAATACAATAAAGAACTATACAAATTACTCACACAATGATATGAATAAAGATAATGATTTGATTTTTTTTTTAAATAAGGAAAAAAAAACAGAGGAGGAGGAACATGAAAAAAAGTCTAGGCCACCTGAGTGCACTAGCGATTCAAAGTTAAATCACTGTTTTTAAATAAGCTCACTGCGACCACGTCATTTCTCCCAGCAACCCCATAGGACAGAGTAGAATGGCCCCGGAGTCTGAGATTAAATGTCTCTGGGAGCACAAAGCTTCATGTCTGCTGGTAGTTTCGAACTGCTGACCTGTGGTTAGCAGCCCAGTGCACTCTGCCACCAGGGCGCCTCTGTGTTAAAACACCACTAGGAGAATAGTTGTGTCACCTCTGAATACATCGGCACAGCATCATTGTGTTTGAGTATGATTCACCGGAGCATCTTGAGAGGAAAATATATGCAGACAGTGTCTAGTTCCACTCAGGGGCGTGTTTGGCATGCAACGGCCATAATTTTTACCCCAAACTTCTCTGTTCCTGGAGCTCCGAGTGCCTGGGTGGTCTCTTTCTTCGGCACCCAGGCTGGGGTTTTCCCTCCAACCACCACCCTTTGTCCTTCTCTTCCCTCAAGGTCCCATCTAGCTGTTCCTCAGGCAGTTAACGCCTCCTCCAGGAAGGCTCCTGGAAGTGACACACTGCCTCCTTCTCCTCCCACAGCAGCCCAGGCTTAGTCCTCCAGAGCACGGGGATTTCCCTCCCTGCCAGGATGGCTGGCCCGGAAATCCCCCCACCATGTTAACAATGGTCCGGCAGGCTGCCATCCACCCACATAGATGTCCACACAAGTTTAGGATTCCCCTAAATGTTATGATTTTCCACACCCACTGAGAAAACCAGGGCTTTCAGTTTCCCCTAAACCGAGATCTTGCTGTCTCTCCCTCAACCCCTCGGGGCTTGGCACTCTTCACAGTGAGTGTGTGGTGGCTGAAGGTGGTAGTGACAGAGGTGTGGTCCCTTGAGGAAGACAAGCACAAACACTGCGTGTTTGGAACTCCGTTAGCAACAAGTAGGCCTGAGCACTGTGCTGCCCTGCTGGGCCTTAAGGGGCCAGGAAGTGTGGCTGATGGAGAGAGGGCAACTGCAGAGGCTCTAGGTAGTGGGGGGGCCTAATGGAGTAGAACCTCACAATGCCACACCCTGTAGTCTGTGCTGGGCCCCTGGAGGAGGGTGAATGCCGTGCCAGGTGCTCACAAGTGCAGAGAGAAGAGGGGAGCAGCCCCGGAGAGGCTGGACCCGGTGCCAGGGCCACGCTGAGCTTGTCCCTCAAAGGGACACTCATTTGGCCCTGGTTTTGGTGTTTCTTTCCTTCAATTCTCTCCAGGAAGTGGGCTGGAGAAGTCAGGGGCCCATCTCCGGGGCTGGGCTCCAGGGGCCGGGCCTTGAAGGCCAGGGCACGTAGGCATGAAGGAACAGCAGGGGCCCATGTTCGAGTTTGGGGCTCCAGCTCCAACTGCCCAGACCTCTCTGGCCCAGAAAACCTGCCCTTCCCTTATAAAGAGAGATAAGAGTGAGCCTGTCTGCCGACCCCCACCCCCCCTGCCTGGGAAGAGGGGTGGCTGCTTTGTGGACAGTAGAGATGATGTGATGATCCCCCAGCCCCACTCGACCCCACCCCCACACCCAGCCTCGCTGCTCCTCTCTCACAGAGTGTAAACATGTTTATTTGAGAGGTCTGTGTCCTCTGGTGAGCGGCACAGGCCGGCGGGCTCCCTTCATGCTGCCCGGCCCAGCCCGCCATGCATGCAAGTCCTCGGTCAGTCCAGCTGCCGGCAGGAGCAGGGCCAGCAGAGCAGGCCTGGCTCTGCACCACCCCGACCCCACCCCACCCCACCCCCTCCTGGGCCTGGCCTGCACACAGGAGGTCAGGCCCTCTCTGTGCCCCTCCTTGGGGCTCCCCCAGGAAGCAGAGCCCAAGCTTTGCCCGCTGGTCCCTCCCAGAGGGGTAAAACACTGCTGCCAGGCCCGGGCCGGCTGGCTCTGTGGTCCTGCCTCTCCAGCCAGCTCGCCAGCAGTGCAGGGCAAGGCTAGCACTCCTAGCACCCTCATTGTGTGGCCAGCTCGGGAGGTAGGCACACCTCCTCCGGGGAACCACTACTGCAGTCCAGAACGGTGGGGCTGGCACTGACTCCCACCTCCAGCCAACGGCTCCTGGCTGCACCGGAAATGCCTGCGGGCCCCAAATCTCCGAGGGCCTGCCACTTCCTCCAAGAGGCCCCCCTGGCTTGGTGCCCAGCTCAGGCCAGCCAAGGCTGCTACTTCATGGCCCTGAGGACAGCCTCCAGCTTCATGACCACAGCCAGGTCACCCTTCACCTTCAGCCGCCCGCTCATGTATGCCCCCAGGGGCCGCAGCTCCCTGCACAGCAGGGCCCGCAGGTCGGCCTCGGCCAGCTCCACCACCACGTCGGGGGTGCCATCAGGCACCCCATGTCCTACCTTCCCTTGACCTGTGGGGAAGAGAAAACAGGGTTTTCAGGGGTAATTACAGGTATGGGGGTCCTAGGGGCTGCTGAAGCTCCAGGTTGGCCTATTCTCTCTAGTGAATCGTTTCCCAGAGAGCACCAGCCCTCCGCCTACTTCACAACTGCTGACCTTTTGCAGTAGAGCCCTGTTGCATGGTGGCTATGCCTTGGGCTGGTAAGCACAAAGTCAGCAGTTTGAAACCACCAGTCTTCTTATTTGTGCGATGGGCATGATAACAATGTCGACATCAATTTCTACATCACAGGATGAGAAGGAGGTGAGGCAATGCCCAAGAGAGTGCGTCCCCAAGATGCATGGTGGGTGCAGGGGGCCCAGCCATCGGAGCCCTCCTGCTAGGGGGGACGGACCGAATCTGGCTAATCATTGTCTGAAAATGGTGTTTGAGCTCCAGGTGGCTGAGAAAGGCCCACTGGGGTGGTGTGTGGGGGGTGGGAGGGGGGTGCTACATAGAACTTGGGAGGCAGGGGCAGGAGGCAGGGGGCGAGGAGGGTGGCGGTGGCACCTGAAGTGAGGTCCAGGAAGTAAGTGCTCTGGCTGCCGCTGGGCAGGCCCACGTTGAACTGGTAGCAGGCGCCGACCTGGCTGACCAAGGCATCGGTCAGGAAGGGCTGCAGGGCGGTCAGCAGCCCCTCGGCCACCGGCGGCTTCGGGCTGGGCCCAGCACTGCAGCGGGGCGCAGGCGGCTCCACTTCGCTGACCATCTCCAGGGTGTCTGCTGGGGGAGGAGTGGGGGGCCAGCATGCTGCCAAGGTCAGGCTTCAGTACCTTTGTGCAACCGGTCCCCTTCTGACCCCGCAGGCCTCTGCTCTACTTCCTCCTCAGCTGAGAAGACTTCCCTGAGAGGTCCAGCCCTCAGCCCCACATCTGTTCAAGCTACTTGAGCTTGACGTATTAAACGCTCATTCCAGCGACACTCTGCGCCCTCTTGGCCCTCGCTTAGGGTCTTCCAAAGGCCCCGACACACTCCCGTATGCCTGGATGCTTCTCACTGCCTTAGCCCTGATCAGGTCTAGCATAGGGGCTGCCCGAACAGCTGTGTCGGGTGTGCCCTGCACAAGGGTGCCTGGTTCTGGGAGCAAGAGGCCAAGTGCAGCCCATACTGTGCTCGGCTTGCCAGGCTGGGTGCTCTGGGGTGGGGCCCACGAGCTCAGAGAGGAAATCTCTTGTTCTTTCTCTATCAACGGGTGTACCATCTGGGCTGGTGCTGCCCGGGCTAGCACCAGCTGCCCATAAAGTGGCCCTCTCCCCACGAAATGTCTCCCTTTCCTCTTCCAGTCCAGGGGGGTGGCTCGAGGCCTCCTCTCGGCTCCCCTCCTCCCAGAGCCCCTCACCTGGCCCTGGGGTCAGGGCGCCTCCCGCCACCGAGGACACGCCTCCTCCCAAGAAGTGCAGGGCCAATTGCTGGAGGGTGCTGTCCAGACTGGAGCCGGCCGGGCTGTCCTGGGGTGGCTGGAGCATGGCCTCCACGGCCAGCTCCACGCGGTCCACCTCCAGCCCCCAGGCCCTGGTCACGTCATTGATCTCCAGCTGAAGGGGACCGTGGGGAGAAACAGAGGCAGGCTGTTACACTGCGCAGGGACACAGGGCAGGGGCCCAGGCGCCATGTCAGCCTGGGTACACAGGCAGAGGGCAAGCCCACCCCCAGCTATGCTCAATGCCTACACAGAGAGGGGCCTGGCCAGACTGGAGGGCCAGAGATGGGAGGAACTGCCTGGAAAAAGAGGAATTCTTAGTGGAAGGACCATTCCGGGAAGGAGGGTCCTTCCAGACAATGGGAACAGTATATGGAAAAGCCAACGCGGGAGGACTTGGCATGATCCAGGAACTGCGTGGACCAGAGCCAGTCGGCTGGACCCTTGGGTGTTGGGCTGGGGGGACTGGTGAGAGCAGAGGGCAAGGGGTGGGGGTCTGCCTGCTAGCTTGGATTGGCCCTCTGTGGACAAGGAGCCTCAGAGAGGAGTTTAAGCCAGGAGGCAGGCAAGGCAGACTTTCTGTAAAGATCCTTCCAGCTTGCTGTGTGGACAGAGGGTTAGAAGGGGCTGAGGATGGAGGCAGGGGAGCATCCAGTTAAGTCACAGCTTCAAATGGCAGGCGATAAAGGGTGAGGATGTGTAGAGGAACCCTGCTGGCATAGTGGTTATGTGTTAGGCTGCTAGCCACGGGGTCAGCAGTTCAAAACCACCAGGTGCTCTGAGAGAGAAAGACGGGCTTTCTATTCCTGTAAAGAGTGACAGTCTGGGAAGCCCACAGGGGCAGCTCTACCCTGTCCTATAGGCTCACTCCGTGGCAGGGAGTGCTGAGTGCAGGGCAGAGTGGGGCTGTGAGGCTGAGACACACTGAGGGAGGGACAACCCCCCCACAGCCACTTGAAGCCACTGCACAGCATGACAGAGCGTGCCAGCTGCCCAGAGGAGGGAGGAGGGCGGGCATCGTGCCTGGAGGGGTTCCTGCGTGGTTCCTGGGTCTGGGCATTCCCCCTAGCGAGAACCCAGGGAGACAGCCACTGGAGGGCAAGACGGACAAGGTGAGTCGTTTCTGGGAGCCTGGGCTTCCTACCTCCAAAATAAAGCAGCCAGCCACTCTGCCCTCTGGATCTCCCTAAGCCCAGGTGCCCGGGCGCTGGCAGACGGAGCTCTTGTTCCTATCATGGGGCCCATTTTCTGGGGGATTTTACCAGGCTGGTGGCTTGCCAATGAACTTCCTGAGGGGCTGGGACCCGCAGGACCAGGCCTTGCTATGGCCCCTCCCCTCCTTGAACCCTAAGGCCTGTGGAGACAGCGGGTGGGAGGGGGGGCGGGGGAGGGGCGCATAGAGAATTGGGGGAGTTTTCGTCTACTCTAGTCAGGCAGACCCGGGCAATGCCCACCTAGGGGACACACCGCGGGTGAGCAGCCAGCTCCAGCCCTCGGGCTGCAGGAGGGATGGCAGTGCGGGTGACTTCCTGTACACATGGGGGCGAGGCGGGGAGGGCACTTGCGGGGAGGGCACTCGCGTACACCCCGGCTTGTCCTCTCGGTTTGAGGAAAGCAAAGCCATAAGCAGCAGAAGTAGCAGGTGGCCGCCTGGTTGGCTGCCCTGAGGAAAGGGCCTTCCTCTCTGCCCTTCCCTCCGGAGCTGGGGCCCTGCTCTCTTACCACCTGCCTGCCCCATGAGGCAGGGACAGCAGGAGCCCGGAGGACAGGGCAAGCATGGGCCTGGCCAGGTAGTGATGCATCAAACCTCAGCAGAGAGACGTAGGCGGCGGGAACTTTCACGCAGGCCACTCCTCCTCTCAGGAGTGCCTGTATCCACCGCCCATTGCCCAACGCACAGTCCTCCCCACGGCTCACCAGCTCTTCCCGGGTCCCTACACTCACGGACAGAGGGGAAACCATGGCCGGAGTGGCCTGGGGCCCCGGCACTGGCTGCCTACCAGGAGCTGGTCGCTGATCTTGAGCTTCTCCTGCTGGATCTCCCTAAGCGGCCTCTTCAGCAGGGCCTTGGTCATGGCATTCTGGGCTGTCATGCGCGTGGCTGTGTTCAGGTCCTTCACGGCCATCACTGACAGCACCGGGTCCCAGATGCGGAACTGGACATCAGCCCCCACGGACAGCACAGCCCCATCCTTAGAGGCCAGCTGTCGGAGGCAGTCGAGAGGGGTGGGGGGCGGTGATTAAGGGGCTGGGGCTGCAGGGAGGTCGGGTCCCTGGCACCACGCTTACTGACCCACCCACCTGGCAGCTGGTTCCTCAAAGGACAGATGGTGTCGCCAAGTGCGTGGGGTGAGGTGTGTGGGGCACGGGTCCTGGTCTTTCTTCCTCCCCTTCCCTGCTGGTCTCCCATCAGCCCGGGGCACGCCCTCACACCCTCTGCCCTGGGGAGCTGAGAGGCCTCTTACCTTGCAGGGGGGCACGTTGAAGGCTCGAGTCCTTAGATCCACCCTCTGGAAGGAGTCAATGAAGGGCAGGAGCAGGACCATGCCAGGCCCCTGGGGGGTGCGGATGCGGCCCAGCCGGAACACCACCATCCGCTCGTAGGTGGGCACAATCTGTCCACAGGAAAGGGTGGACAGTGGTCAGCTCGGGTCCGGCCAGGGCCTCCTACCCTGATTCCACCCTCACCTGCTCCCTTCGCCTTGGTCAGTCAGGCAGCTTTACCTGTTACCAGTCGAGTAAAACCAAAGCTCAGACAGGCTAAGTGACTTGCTCAAAACAAAACACAACAACAGGTCATGCGGCCATTCGGCCAAATGGGCGAGATTTGAACTGAGTTCTCAAAGAGTCCCAGGACCCGGCTCTCACCATCACACCACCTACTGACTTGCTTCTCAGGAGACACTGCTCCCTGGTGCTCAGAAACTGGACATGCCCAGACTAGGGAGTGGTGGGCAGGGGGGAGGGGGGCCTAGTTTGGGGGTTAGAGGCTGGAATGCCCAACAGCACTGTGGAGCAAAAGCCCTGGCTACCTTCTAGCTCCCAAAGCCTTCCCATAAAAGCAGCTCCATCCAAATTGGGAAATGGGTCACAGAGCCTTTGTTTCAGCGTCATCGGTTTCAGGACTGCGATGGAGAGCCATCGAAGGACTCCCAGACAGACCAGGACAGACCACAGCACACCCAGAAGCTTTCTTGCAAAGTTGACTGCTGCTGGGGGCTACCCCGAGGGCAAGGCCAGGTTTCCAGCTTCCCTGTGGCTTTTCCGGATGCACTTCCACCTGCTGCTGTTAGTTACCGGGACGTGCGCTTTGACTTGGGCACCTGATGGCTAACCGAACACCACTGTCACTGCCGTCAAGATCACTGGCTTGTCTGGGCTCGGTGTTAACCCCGGCAGGGTTCATCCTTCTCCAGGTCAAAAGGCAGGCCATCATGCCTCTCGCTCATGACTTGTTGAGCCAAGGTGGTGCCCTGGCTAACGGAGCCTGACCCACAGGGTAGAGAAGGAGCCCTGGTGGTGCAGGGTTACACGTGGGGCTGCTAACCGCAAAGTCAGTAGTGTGAAACCAGGAGCAGCTCCGAGGGAGAAAGGCGAGACTTCCCACTCCCATCAAGAGTTAGTCTTGGAGACGCACAGGGACGGTCCTCCCCTGTCCACAGGGCCACTGTGAGTCATCAGCGACGGGATGGCAGGGCGGTGGGTTTGGAAATGGCAGAGCAACTGGTACAGGCTCACGTGCATCTTCGAGCAAATGTTGGGCACCTGGGACCTGAGAAGCTGGGGCACTTCCTCTACCACGTACTGGATGACTCTAGACAAGTCTGAGCCTCTGCTTCCTCATGCGGAAGACGTCGGTGAGAAAGCCTTGCCCAGCCATCTCCCAGAGGGAGGATGACGTCTTGTTGAGGGAGGAGGACAAAAGGACGGGAGAGTCACCCATCCCAAGGCAAGCTCTCGGGAGGCCCAACCACCCTCGCCCGGCCAGCATTACCTTCAGGGCAAACCATCCAGACACGGGGAAGGTGAGCAGGAGCAACAAGAAGCCCAGGACGCTGATGAGACCATGGCAGAGGCAGGAGGCCCAACTCTGGGGCACATCTGGGGCAAAGAGAAGAGGCAGTCAAGGCAAGCATGCCAGCTGGATCTGGCAGGGTGGCAGAAGGATGACCAAGGGTCCTTTTTTTTTTTTGCCCACCTCCCCTTCAAAGGCCCCTTCTTTCTTGGGACTCAGGGTGTACACCCTTGCCTAATACCCCATTATCCTTGGGGACTGTCTCCCACACATCAAAACCAGCCTGTCCCGAGTCCCACTCCCACGAGGTCCTATGTTCTGCTAGGCGCCAGCCATTGACCCCGGGTGTCCGATCCATGTGCCTCTCTCCCTGTCCCACTGGACAGGGTTCAGGCCCTTCCTCAGGTTTATGTCACCTCCGCATTTGTGGGTGGGAGGAAGGCAAGAGTTACAGCCTCAAAAGCCCACAAGGGCAGTTCTACCCTGTCCTTTAGGGCCGCCACAGTTGAAATCGACCCCATGGCAGTGACTTTGGGGGTCTAATCATGCCTGGCACAGAGCTGGGTTGATCTGAATGTAGCTACACACGCCTCCTCTACCACCAGCTCCAGGAGCCCTGGGGAAGACAATGTCTTAGAGGGCTAAAATATTAATACCAGACAAACAAACGCACTGCCATCGAGTCAATGCCAACTTATAACGGTCCTATAGGACCGGGGAGAACCAAAGCCCCCCTGTGGGTTCCCGAGACTGTACCTCTTTCTGGGAGTAGAAAGGCCCATCTTTCTCCCACAGAGCAGCTGGTGGTTTCAGACTGCTGACCTTGAGGTTTAGCGGTCCATTGTGTAACCGCTACCAGGAGAGAACTGAACAGATGCTAAGATGTTCTTTCTAGTTCATTCACCCACACCCCACGTCACGGTTTTGCTGTGAACCGCTGGGCAGCCTCATGCACAACAGAAGGAAGCCCTGTCCTGTCCTGGCTGGAAAGCTGTCCAGCGCCCAGCAACACACAAGCCTCCGGGGACAGATGGGTGGTGCTGTGCACGAGGTGCACCGAGCAGGAACCCAACCCCATGCACGTGAGGCAGGCATTCGACTACCACTGCCCCCAGGACCACTAAAGGCATGCTGCCCTTCAGCTGGAGATGGGGGACCAGGGAGATGGGGCTCATCTGAGCCAGAGGTCCTGGCCCTTGGAGAACCAGTCGCCCAGGATGAAGTGGAGCTGTGAGAGGCCCAGATGGTGGGATGAGGTTATTCTCTGCTCCTCCTCCTCCCAGTCCTGAGCCAGAAACTGAAAGGTCTCCGTCATCCTTCTGGGGACCCCGTGCTCTCAGAGGCACACCCAATCTCCATTCCCTGCCTGGTTCTGGCCCTCTGAGAAGGGCAGCTGCCTGGTCGGGAGGGCCAGGGCGGGGCTGTCATGTGGAAGAGTTGGGTGGGCAGACACAACACAGTGCCGAGAATCTGCCTTTTGGGCCCGTGCATCTTCACCTCCGGGGGGGTGGGCGGGGAAGGCACTGCCATTTCTCTGCAGCCCAGGGTCCTTAAGGTGTTGGTGGCTCCTGGGTCTGGTTCACGGCTTCCTCTGGAAGCCCAGGCTCAGGACTCCTCCTCTTAGGGGGCGAGGGCGTCAGGCCAGCCTGATCATGCCAGGACAGGGGGCTTGCGGGCCTAGGGGCGCCGACGGGTCCTCCCCCCTCCCCCCGCTATGCTGGGAGGCCACTCACCGGCCCCCGGCCCCGCACCGCCCCGTTCTGGGGACAAGCAGCCCTTCTGCGAGCCCAGGAAGCCGAAGCTCGACTGCTGGAAGCGGTCAAAGTCCCCCAAGGGCAGCGCTCGGTACCCGGACCTGCAGAGCATGGCGCTGGGCAACGGTCACTGGCCAGGACCCGTGCGGCGAAGGGCGTGCCCAGCAGGCCCGGCCCGGCCCCGCCCCGCCCCGGCCGCAGGTTTGGGCTCCGGCGGCCGCTTCCGGCTTCACCTGCGCCCCCACCGACGCTAAGCGGCGGCTTTGGGCGCAGGAGGAGGAGGCAGGCCGGCCCGCTCGAGCCGTCGCGTTGCGCCCCCTGCCCTCGGAGGACCGCACTGCCACCACGGCCGAGCAAGTGGGGCTACCAGCTCTTAGGAGGGGAGACAGGGTCCCTCTTCCTTCCCGCCCCCACCCGGTCTTAGGACAGGGGTTAGGAGGGGAAGGTGGGCTTTGAAAGGTGATTTTTTAAGACCCCAATCGCCTCCAGAATGAAGGACACGTTTTCAGCCTTCTTAGCACTCCCTTCTCCAAACTTGCCCTCTGGCACTAGAACCACACCAAACCAGAGCTGAGGATTCCTGCCCCAGAGGACTGCTTCCCAGGGTTTACTTTTGGGGATGATTATAGGCACAGATCAAGAGTGCTTTCTGTTGAGACACCCATACCCAGAAAATCCACTGCCATCCTGTCTATTCCAGCTCCTAGTGCCCCCCCCGGAAGGATTCCCAAGGCTGTCCATCTTTAAGGGGATAACCCAAGCCAACCCACTGCCCTCGATTGGATGCTGACTCACAGCAACCCTGTCGGACACGGTAGAACTGCCCCGGTGGGTTTCCAAGATTGTCACTCTGAATGGGAGTAAAACAAAACAAAAATAACTGTCATCAAGTCAAGGCTGACTCACAGTGACCCCTGGGTCTCCCCAAACTATAACTGGTTACGGGAGTAGAAAGCCTAGTCTTTCTGCCTACCATGCAGATGGTAGCCCAACTCGTAACCACTGTGCCACCTGGGCTCCACTACCCCTCTCCTCTTCCTTCTTCGCTGCTGGTGGGTTTGTAGCTGACCTTGTGGATAGCAGGTTCAAATTGCCAAGCTTCAGGTAGCCAGCAGTGCACAGGGTTTTGTGCAGCTCAGAGAGGGACCTTGGGCATGTGGGAGTGGTGGCCTTCTCTAGACTCAGGACTTCTCCAGGCACGGCCAGCAAATTATACCTCTTTGCCGCCCCACAATCCGGGAAGCTGAGCCTGGCACAGAGCTAACTTGTTGAATGAAGTTTAGGGAGAGAGGGCCTGAACTTTGGCACTAGAAATGTGGCATTTCCTGGGTGGACTAGGGGAGTACAGCAGAGGAAGGGAGGAGGGGATGGCAAAGAGCTTCCCAGAGGGCAGGTCGACCAGGGCATCACAGAAGTGATAGCCTGGGTCCTGCAGACCCTAGCTGGGCCTTGATCCAGATACCCAGCGGTACCTTGCCTCTCTCCATGGCTCGAGAGATCCAAATGTAATGTAAGTGGTAGGTTTGCTCTGACAAGCCTTAGCTCTCAATTGGGGTGTTAGGGTAGGCTGGGGGTAGGTGGCCTTCCAAAGGGAGCAAAAACATGCTTAGTATTATTCTTGTCTCCACCACATACACGTCTTGCCTCAGCCACTTGGCTCACTTCCAGAGCCCTGCTGCCGACACTGTCCACCCTCATGAATTTTTCCTCATTTGGCTCCCAGAGGAGGACCTGACCATAGACACGCGGGGAATGCTGACCAGGCTGGAGGGTTCGGAGCACTCTTGAGGACTCTCCGCGTTTCTGGGCACGCTGGACTTCTCTCCCAATGACTCTCCACATAGACACATCCCGGAATACCAGCTTCGTAAGAGGAAGGTTATCTTCTTTCCTCACCTGTTCTGAGTTGGAACCGAGGCTGTAAATCGGTGCTCCGGGGTCAGCACAGTGATGGGGATGGCTGGCAGTTCGAAGTCAGTGGCGCTGGGCTATTGCGGCCCCTGGAGCGGCGTTCTTCCTCCTGTCACCAGCCGAGGGCCTGGCACACTCCCCCTTGACCATAGCCTCACCTGCTCTCTCCTGACCCTCTTCATGCCTGCTCAGTAGCTATCACCACCACCTACCTCAGACGCACTAACCTTTCCCAAACAGTCACCCACAGCATTTTCCTGCCCACACACCCGCCCC